GGCATTCTCCTACATTGCTGGTGGAAATGTGAAAGGCATAACCACTTTAGAAAACTGATGGTTTCTTATAAAGATAAAAATACATGTACCGTATGACCAAGCAATTCCACTCTTATTTTACCCAAGAGAAATTAAAACATATGGTGTCACAAAGACTTATACATGAATGTTTACAGGAATTTATACATAATAGCCTCCAACTGGAAACAACTCAAATGTCCATCAACTAGTAAGTGGATAAACAAATGATGTCCAAACTATGGAATACTACTCATCAGTAAAAAGGAATAAACTACTGAAATGTATAACAAGGTGAATGAATCTAATTCATCATGTTGCTTCCATTTATATAAATTTCAAGAGCAGACAGGACTAATCTACAGCACTTAAAATTAAATCAGTGGTTGTCTGGAGCCAGGGTGAGAGATTTCACTGCAAAGGGCCGCAGAGAACTTTCTGTGGTGATGGAAATGTTCAGTATCCTGATTGGGGAGCAATGATTCTACAACATTGTATACATTTGTCAAAACTCATTAAACTGTACATTTTATTATCCATTTTATTGTAAGGAAATTATACCTCCATAAAAAAAGATTGGGGAAAGGGCCGGCCGAGTGGCTCAGCTGGTTAAGAGCTCGCTTGGGAGCACCAGCTCTGAGCAGCAGGGCTGCAGTTCAGATCCCACGTTGAGGGCCAGTGACGCTTGCCCTCTACAGCTAAGATGATGAACAACAGATTGACCTGGAGCTGGGCTGCTGTGGGTCGCTGGTGACGGTGTAGGCTGCAGCAGGGCTACAGTGGGCTGCCTTGAGCTACGTGAGTGGCTGGCAGCCAGTGTGAGCAGCTGATAGCCGGTGTGAGCTACCGGGAGCCGCTGTGAGTGGCCGACCAACGACGGGCGACCAATTGCCTCACCCAAGAAGAGCACAATGATAATACCAACATGGGCCACTGAAGCGACGTCCTCTACAACCGACCAACGACGGGCGACCAATTGCCTCACCCAAGAAGAGCACAATGATAATACCAACATGGGCCACTGAAGCGACGTCCTCTACAACTAGACTGAAGAAACAGCAACTTGTCTGTCTGTTCCCCTTCCCCGATTCCCCAACGCTGTTACCCTCCCCCCAATTCTCCAATAAAATCTTTAAAAAAAAAAAAGATTTGGGGAAAACTTTTAAAGACCCTCGTTAAAGTGGATTACATACTCATATAGTATCTCAGATCATCCAGAAGTAGGGTTGCCAGAATTAGCGATAAAAAATAGGGGGGTTAGTTAAATCTGAATTATATCTATTTGCTTATGCATATGTACACAGATGTAAAGAAAAACATTGCATGGGATATATACTAAAAATATTTGTTATTTATAGGAAATATATTTTAAGTATCTAAATTATGTACTTCCTCCTTTATGTCTTTCTGACCATTTGGTTCTCCTTAATAGTTCCTTGTGTTGTGGAATTTACTTATAAAATTCTTTGCAGATACAATCTATGTTCATTTTGTGTGTGTGTGTGTGTGTGTGTGTGTGTATCATAGTTTCTCCAGTGTCACATCTAACTTTAATTATTTGTCGACTGGACATTCATTAATGAGAAAACATGCTCAACATTAGTGCTATGAGCCAGTATACTGAACATGTACTAGAATAAAGTTAATAACCCTGAAAATTGCTCTTCAAATTTGGTTTGTTGAAGCAAATACCATATTTCATGGCATGACTGGTTTTTCCATTCTCTAGTATTATGTTGCATCTCTTGGTCAATAACTTTTCAAAATGTTGTCCACTGACAAAAAAAAAACCATTGAAATAAATTTTTATTCCTTTCTTCTTTAACATTGCACATGATGATTCCACGTGTCCCCACTCTGGAAGAGTATTTAATAATATCCACGTAAAAGGATCAAAATTCTTCATGAGATGAAATCCACTTTAAAAGGTAGTCATGACAAGTGTTATAATTATCATCCACTTCATGTCAGAATTTCTTTTCCTGTTCATAAGTAATGTTCCTATTAAGAATAGCCTTGGTACTTAAAGGGTTAAATTTTTCTTCCTTGGGCTGGCTGAGTGGCTCAGTTGGTTAAGAGTTGGCTTAAGAGCGCAAGCTCTGAGCAACAGGGCCGCCGGTTTGATTCCCACATGGGCCAGTGACACTGCACCTGAGCTGAGCTGTCGCTAAGCTGCCAACAGGTGGCAGGATGGCTCAGCTGGTGTAACAACAAGATTGCCTGTTTGATGGTGGGCTACGCCTACTAGTAACTGAGACTGAACTCAGCACCTTGAGCTGAGCTGCCGCCCGCATGGCTCAGTGGTTAGAGCATACACTTTTAACAACAAGGCTGCTGGTTTGACTCCCGCATGGGATGGTGGCTACACCCACCCACAACTAAGATTGAACACAGCACCTTGAGCGTAGAGGCCACGAGCTGCCGACGGGCAGCCAGATGGCAACTGTTTTTATTTATTAATCCAACGTTATGAGGATTTACCCCTACATTTTCTTCTAAGAGTTTAATAGTTTTTAATAACTTAATAATAGAGAAATAACCCAATAAAAATGAACAAAAGATCCAAACAGACATTTCTCCAAAAGGATATACAAATGGCTAATAAGTACATGAAAATATGTTTGACATCATTAGCTATCAGGGAAATGCAAACCAAAACCATAATAATGATGGAGAGAGCATGATGCAATATATACAGATGTCAAATTATAATGTTGTACACCTGAAACTTATACGTATAATGCTATAAACTAATGTAACCACAATAAAAAATAAAATGTAAGTAAAACTTTAAAAAATACCACAATGAGATATCACGCATACCCATGAGGAGGGTTGTATTTTTAAAAAGATGGATAATCAGTATTGACGAGGATATGAAGAAGTTGGAGCTTGCATATATTGCTGGTGGGGATGTAAATGGTGCAGCCACTTTAGAAAACAATTTGGAAGCTCCTCAAACAGTTAAAGAAGTTACTACACAACCTAGTCATTCCACTCCTAGTTATATACCTAAGAGAATTGAAAATATATCCACACAAAAACTTGTACACGAATGTTTATAGCAGCCTTAGCTTACAAAAATAAATAAAAAGGTGGAAACAACCCAAATGTCCATCAACTGATAGGTGGCTAAGAAAGATGTGATAGATCCATGCAATGGAATATTATTCAACCATAAAAAATGAAATTTCTGGTACATGCTGCAACATGGATGAGACTTGCAAAAATTATGTTAAAGTATATACTCGTAAGTCAACCACAAAGAACCATATATTGTATTATTCTGTTTATATGAAAGATTCACAATAGACAAATCCATAGAAAGTTGCCCAAGGCTGTGATGGTTGGGGAGAAATGGGAAAATGACTGCTAAAAGGCATAGGGATTCTTGTTGGGGTGAAGAAAATGTTCTAAAATTGGTTGTGGTGGTGATAGCACCACTTTGTGAAAAATACCAACAGAACTGTAAAAAAAAAATGGTAATAGCAACCATCATAAGAATTGAAAAGGTTGTTTTTGATAAATCTCATGGCTGACATTGTGTTTGTCCCAAGACCAAACTCATAAACTAACGGTAAGTGAAAACTGAATCTTGAAAGGATTGCGAACTTTGAACTTGCGGGGTTAAAATACTGAACTCAGTATCTGATGCAAAAAAGATGAATTTCTCGTCTGTCTGCAAAGGAGAGCTGTATTTCTAAGGCACGGTATCCCTAAACAAAGCCAGAACTGATCTTATATGTTTTGGGAAGCCTAACGTTCAAGGTTTGGTGGTTTCAGAAGCGGTAGCGTCCAGCGATTTGACGGACTTGCAGCTACGTTAGTGTGGTCACTGTTGTAAGGTAATGAGGACCAGCTAACTTTCAGCGGACTGGTCCCTGGAGTGAGGCACTTGCTGATTGGCTGTTGTCTAGAAGCATGGAGCTGTCAATGATTGGCTGACTTTTAGAAGCTTGGAACTGTAAATGATGTACTACCTTTTAGAAGCCTAGCTACCAGAGTGAAGCTGTTGTTGACTGGCTGATTTTCAGAAGCATAGGAGTGAGGCTGTCGCTGATTGGCTGATTTTCAGACTCGTGTACTCATATGAAACTATCGCTAAATAATTGTGGTTGCTTTTTCACGACTTTGAACTTAAGCCGAAAGTCTTTTCATTTCTTGAATATGAAAAATACTTATAATTTCTAGTCCCTTCATTTGGTCTTCCCTCAGCTAAACCTGCTGGAGGCACCATAGGAATTGCCTAGATCTTTTATTTGTGGAAGTAGGATTTTCAGCTAGTGTTACCATTTAAGTGATTTAAGCGCCAATTACCTTGGCTGAAAAATAGCTCTAATACTTTTTGTAATTGATTGCAAAAAGATTAATACAAGACATCTAAGGCATACTGACAAAGTCAATTCAGGACTCAGGACGAAATCATTAAACACGTCCTGTATATACAGGACGCCTGACAACTCTATTAACGGGGTATTTCCTCCGTTTCACACACAAAAAGACCGAGGCTCGGTGGGATTAATTTTCTTGTATATGGCCCTGCAGTCGGAAAAGGGTGGAGCCAAGATCTGAACGGAAAAGGGCATAGATCCTCCGAGACCCTATAAATCCCTAACGTCCATGCCCTGAGCATGGGCTGGGCGCGCACTGCTAACCTGAGGTCGGCTAGGAATCGGCAGGATGTTTGAAAGGAGGATGCGCAATTGATTAGCAGCGGGTTTCTTAACAGTAGCGTGGCACCCGCCAGGGAGACCGCGGTAAACTAGCAGGGTACTAAGGCGGTGCTCAGATCCGAGCGCTGTCCTAGGACACTGTTACCACAGCGGAAGGCTTTGCTGGAGGCCGAAGCCGGCTCAACGGGGCGGGGCGAGGCGGGACGGAGCAGAGTGAGGCCCCGCCCCTGGGCACGTCCGTGTGCGTGGCTGGGGGCGCCGTAGAGAGTCCCACTAGGCGATGCGGGGCTTGAGGGACAGGGCAGAGCGGCTGCACGATAGCCGTCGCCCTGAGGGTCCGCACTAACAGCGTCCCGCCTAGCCGCCACGCAGCTTCAGGAGGGCGCGGCCCTGCGTCCGTTGCCCCACCCCACATCCCAGCCAGTCACGACGCCCCCATCCTAGCTCTTTGCGCGCGTCCGACTCCGCCCCTGCCCCCGACGTGCCCCCGCGCGCCGCGCCCCCCGCCCACCCAACCCTCCCGGCCACCCCGCCCGGCTGCAGTGGCCCTGTATCCGCCCTACGGGCCTGTGCGACCCTTGCAGCGGCACGGTTCTCCGCCGCCCGCCGCCATGGATGTGCTCGCCCCGCACCGCCTGGGGCTGCCCCGCGCGCGGTCCCCCAGCGGCCTCGGCCGCGGGTCGCCCTCCGTCAGGTACGCTGGGCCGAGGCTACAGAGGGTCGGGCGGGCGGGCCGGGGGTTGTGGGCTGTTGGGGTCCGGCGACGCCTCCCGCCGCAGGGCGTGGCCCGACATGGCTTCCTTGCGAATGATTTTTCCTTAAACGGCTCCCTGAGGAACGTTTTCCCAGGAACGGCTTCCTGTGTAGATTCTTACAACGGCTCCCTTGTGAAGACTCCCTACTGTGATCGCCCCCCCACACCCCAATAGAACGCCTCCCCCAGGAAGGATTCCCCTGTAGAGAACCTCCATAGTGGTTTTCTATGATAGCTCACTTTCCAGCCCCATAGATTATTGCCTCCAGAAACGGCCGTATAACCCCCCACAGTAGCTTCCCTGTATAGAACCTCCAAATGGGTTTCCCTTGAAACAGTTTACGTATAATGCCCCCCCATCGTAGGTCTGCTCTAGAGCCTTTCCCTTTGACAGGCTTCCCTAAAGAGTACTCCTCTCCCGCCCCTACCTGCACACCAACACTGACAGCATCTTCCCTATTGCGCATTTCTCACCTCCCCCTTGCCCCAGACTGCATCGCGACGCACCCTCACTCCACAATGGGGAGCTCAGGTTAAGGGAAGCTGTAGGTCATTAGGGGCGCAGTAGGAAAAACTAACTGGATGGATAGGGGAAAGAAGCCCAGAATCCCCCAAAGCGGCGGACCCCAATCCCCTGAGCCTAGAGACAGAGCCCCCGGGTGCCTCGGTGTGGGGAGGGTGATATTGAGTAGGGTCCCGCCCCCTTTCGGTAAAGGAAGATCCGTTTTTGTTTTCTGCTGCTTGTGCCTTTGGGGATGACCTTGATAGTCTGGGCATTGTTTATGATGGAGCTGGTACGGGGCCGCTTGCGGAGTGTGTTGGTTGGAATGATAGAGGGGTTTCGGCAGAGACCGTTGAGAGGGAGGGAGTGAGGGAGAAAGAATGGGCTTTGGTACTGCTAAACTGCCATTAAACCAGAAAAGGTTTGGTTTGTTTTTTTTGGGTTTGCTTTTTCTCTATCCTAGCCACCTAGCAAAACAAATACTGTATTCCGTTGAAAGGAGATTATCAACTTTTGTTAGAACAGCTTTTCCTATATCTTCCTTATGGGGCTTAAGGCATTGTATGTTTAACTTTTTGCTCGTCAGTCTGTTTTTTGTTTTTGTTTTGTTCTAATGACACAAAATTCACGGAGAGCAAGAACTAAATCTTAGAACCCTGTTCCTCTCTTACATCCTAGCATCCCTTCCCCTGCTCCACCAACTAATGCATGTTTGTTGAATGAATAAAGGATGGAGGAGGTGAGGCTAGACAGCCATGGTTGCATTTGGGAGTCCTAATTTGTTTCTCATTTGGCAGGTGACATTGTTTGAATTCCTGCTCTGCCCTTCAGTGGAATTCCTTGTGGACTTTACAGTTCCAAGTGTTTAGCTGCTTGTGGTAACCATCTCCAATCCATCCAAACATCCTAACATTTCTGGCAGCCAATTTCACTGTTAGAAAGTATTTGAACTTTGTAAAGAATAGAAACTGCACAGAATACTTTAGAACTTGGAGCAGCCATCCGTTAAATCTAGGTTCTTTGTAGACTTGGGGTTCATCCCAGATCATCTTGAGCTTAGGAATCTTGAGTCTTTGAGACTTTTAGGGGAAAAAAGAGCTTCCCAGTAAAATCCATCTCTAAAATAACTGCTCCCTTCCCTCTTTCTAGTAACATGAAAATGTGCAGCTTTTTTAAAGTAGTGCCTTTTTTATGTTAAAAAAGATACATGTTGGCTAACTATATTAATCATACTCAAATTCTGAATCTCCCATCAAGTGGCTTGAGTGACACTTGTTAGTTTTCAGACAAGGTAGGTAGTGCAAGGAACCCCAAGGACTGGCTGTTTATTACACCTTTGGTAAAAGAAATTTGGTGAAGGTTCCCCTCCTTTCCCTCACATACTTTTTTTTTTTACCTATTCAAGCCTTTCCCTGACTTTTGACATTGAACGTTTCTAGCAGGTTTGGTCTCAGCACTGTCCTGTCACCATATTTGTCTTCTTTGTTGCACTCTGACTCCTGAGTGATGAAAGAGGCAGGCCCAACTGGTGAAGTTGCATTCCTAAAGACCCATGGGTAGTACTTTGCAAGTGTGTGGTTTAGCAGTGGTGTTCATTAGCAGTGGGAAATAGAGGTCAGGAGGTAAAAACTTGTTGCTTAGAACTAGAAGCTTCTTTTTAAGGCTATGATAGTCATTCGTGCTGTCCATCAAACATTTTTGGTTTCCGTCTCCTGGGCATATGGTACAGTTGTACTTGAAGTTGAGTATGGGCCTCGTGAGTTGCTTTAGGTTAGTGAAATGTGCGCAGGAATGATGTGTATATTTTCTGGTGTGTAATTGACCACTCTCTTTCCCTCTGATATGGTGACTGTTGGTGCTTCAGATGGTGGCTAGTCCATTAGTCTAGGACCCAGAGCAAGCTTCCAGGTGACCTATGTTTGACATGGACAATGAGCAACAACCTTTGTTGTTTCAAGCCACTGAGGTTTTGGAGTTATTATCAAGTAACTGTCCTGACTTGTACTAAGGGACCAGTGTAAGTAGCTGAAATATGCTTTCCTACTTCAGAATCTTTTTCTGCAGAGGGATCTGATCCTGCTCAGGATTTGTCTAACAGTTTAAATTTCACTATCATTTTATACAAATAATCCAGTTGACACTGTGCTAAGTGTTGTGGATTCAAACATATAAGGAAGGCCCCTGCCGTCAAAGAGCTCCTTTGTAAGTGGAAAGGGAGAAAAACAGTAAAAATTGTAATACAGAGTGGTGAGAAATAAGTGCTGAGGAAGAAATAGGGCTGAAGGAACAATAATGTAAGAGGGCATAGTTGATTTTGAGCTCAGCTGTTTTGAAGAATGGAGTTGGCATTTACTGATCTGGGAACGCTGGAATAAGAGCAGATTTGTGGGGAAAATAGAGTTCAATTTTGGCCTTGTTCATTTTGAGTTGCCTAATACATATCCAAGTGGAGATACTGGCTAGGCAGTTGGATATTACATATATTAGTCTTGAGTTCAGAAGAGAGATTGAAACTGGCAATACCATCCATATGCTGATGACTCTCAAATTTTTATTTAAAGCTGTGAGACTAGATGGAGATCCAGAGAGTCGATATAGAGAAGAGGACCAACATCCAAGCCCTAGGATATCCCATGTAGAAAAGACAAGTATAGCAATGTCTTCCAAGACAGAGAGCATCATGAAAATTTTGAGCACTATAAAGACAAAAGAATATCTACAAATCACACAATCATAGGATTGTAGCAAGATTGGAAACTAGAAGATAATGAAGCAAGCAGTGCCTTCTGAAGGAAAATGGATTCCCACCCAGAATTCTGTATCTAACCAGACTCTCAGGCAGGTATGAGGGAAGCATAAAGACATTTCACACATGCAAGGTTTCAAGGTTGGTCATTCCATACACCCTCTATTGAGAAACCACTGGAGAATGTGCGCTAGCAAAACAGTCTGATTAAGGAGCTCCTGTGCTGTGGTTCCTCTACACTTTGTTAAGGGACTCATAAGGAAGGACCTTATTTGTTACCCCTAGAAATTACCAAAGAGCTGGGACCATTTGTTATTGCCTTTTCCCACAGGGCTTGCCCTAGTGCTTAGATCAGTGTCGGGCATATAGTCAGCCTCACTAAATATGAACTACTGCTGTTAGCCTCTATGAAATCCTGCTTGCAGTAATTATTTATTGAAGTAATAGAGAATAATTTCAGGTGAACCTGTGGGCTATGTTAAATTTCATGGGTATTCTGAGAATTAAGAATCACAATTGTGAGCTAGATGGTGAGAAGGTAGGTAATTCACGATAGTGATGTTCTGCAGAGATCACTTAAGTAAAGCCTCCTAGAGGCAGGTTACCTCTTCAGATGATGTTTATTGGTCAGTTGCCAATACCCATGGTCCTCTTTTGGGTTTACAGATCTGCAGAAGTAATAATTGCTGTTGTAATACAGATGGTCCCTGCCTTAAGAAAACTCAAAATGCAAAGCAAGACTATGACCTTGTATGTCTGGGACCTATGTGAAATTTCACCTCCAGTGTACTTGTTTGGATGCTGGCCAGGGGGCTTGGTGTGGTGCCCGTAGAAGGAAAAGGTGATTGCTTAGTTAAGCTTTTATGGCCTTATTTCTGGCCCAAGGGTCTAAGTACCTGACTTTTCACTCCTGTCTGGGATGACCGTGTACTGAGGACTCTTATTTAGTGAGTATTGTGGCATTAATAGTACACAGTATCTTGACACTGTTTCCTAGCTCTTGGCCTCTTCTCTGATGTTCTAATTTTTTGAGAGGGGGAGTGAGTGAGATGCAGATGCCCTCAAGAGTTAACACAGCTAAAATTATTTGGGTTTTTTTTTATTTTTTATTTTTTGCTCTGAAATTAAAAAAAAAAACAAAAACGAAAAAGCAGAATTTGCAACTTGGGTATTTAAAACTGTTATCTGAGATTTTGAGCCCTAATTGGAGGAAAGGTCAGCTCATGTGGCATGCTTTGTGTTTTCAACTTCTTATTTTAAAATGATTTTAGATTTATAGATGAGTTGCAAATATGGTAGAGTGTTGCTATATAGCCTTCACCCAGTTTTCTTTAAAGTTAACATCTTACATATAACCATGGTGCATTTGTCAAAACTAAGGAATTAATATTGGTACATTAGTTTACTTAATAAACTTTTGTTTACTTGGAGTTTAGTACTCCAGACTTTATTTGGATTTCACTGGTTTTCCCACTAATATCCTTTTTCTATTCCAAGTTCCAATCCAAGATTCCACATTGCATTTAGGTTTGGCATGTTTTTAATAGTCAAAGAAGTGAGGGAAAGTTATTGTGGATGCTTTCTGAATAAAGACTTGTGAAACTGACTTTACAAAGAGCAGATTGTGTGAGGAAATGTTCAGAGAAAGCTAGAGAAAAGGAAGAAAATGGAAAATAAGATGCTATACTAGAA